TTTATTTATTTATTTAAATTATATATATTTTATTGAGGTCAGACAGGAAGGAGAAGGGAGAGTGAGGCAGAAACATCAATGATGAGAAACATGGATCGGCTGCCTCCTGCATGCCCCCTACTGGGGATTAACCCTGTATCCCAGGCATGTGCCCTGACTGGGAATGGCATCATAGGTCAATGCTCAAACACACAGGCTGGGCTTCATTTAGTTTTGAAATTCGTTTTCAGTTAGCTTAGAATTCTACATTGATGGTTTCTCAATATTCCTTCAGCGCTTTCAAGTCCTCATTCCATTGTGCTCTGGTTTTTGTTCTTTTTCCATGTGATATATGATGTTTTTATTAATCTTATCCCTTGAATCATGTGTGGTTTTTATTTGCTGCTCTTGGGAATTTTATCTTTTCACTGGTTTGCCTGGTTTTGATATTAATGTGCCTTGATTTATTTTTTTTTGTTTTTATTCTTCTTTGAGTACTTTGGTGATCTTAGATCTGTGTATAGTTTACATCAAATTCTAGTAATATTTGCAATTATTTCTTAAAATATTTTATTTCAACCTCTCTCTCCTTTCTGGGATTGCAATTACATGCATATATAATTGTCTGCTTTTTTTTGTCTCTTACATTCCTGACACTTGGCTGTTTTTTGGAAATTTTATTTTATTTTTCATTTTGGAGTGTTCCTATTGTATTTCTTTAAGTTCACTTGTGTTTCATCTGCATTGTTAGTCTTATTCCATGTATTTTTCATTTCAGATGTAGGATGGTTTATTGGCTTGTAAAGATTCCCTGAGGGGCTCTATATAGATCTTTGGCTATGGGCCCAAAACTTGGAAGCCAAGTGCAGAGAAGTTGGCCAATCCCAGGAAGAAAGGGAATTCCTGTTTGGTTTGTAGACGTGGCACTTTGAGAATAAGTTCCCACCACTGTGAGGTGATGCCTCTTTCAGTGGGTGAGGAGATAACCTGAGGCTTAGAGAATTGGCTCTTGTCTTTAGAAACCAAATAACCTTTTTTCTTGAAGAAAGTTGAGAAGATATATGGTGTGTTATTGTGAGAAGGTCTCTGAGTAGGAGATCATCTATGTATTGTAGGCGGGTGCTAGGGTATAGATTTAGCTGTAGCAAATCAGAGGCTAGTGGTTGGCCAAAGAGGTGGGGACTGTCTTGAAAACCCTGGGGATTACTGTCCAGGTTAGTTGTCTATTGATTTGAGTGATGGAATCAGTCCGGGTGAATGCAAACAGATCCTGTGACTTAGGACTAAGAGGGATGGTGAAGAAGGCATCCTTCAGATATAATACCATGCCATGGGTGGTGTTGGGTGGTATTTGAGAGAGTATATAGTAAGGGCTGGGTACACCCAGAGTGGTGGGTAGGGTGGCTTCATTGATTGCCCTAATGTCCTGAATAAGTGATAGGATTCAGTAGGTTTCTTTACATCAAGTATTGGCTGGGGAGGCTGCCTCCCTGAAAAGGTTGGAAGAGAGAAGTCTGTCAATAATAGGTTTGAGGCCAAGAAGAGCCTGAGGTGTTAGTGGACATTGAGCTTTTTTGGGAAATTTCCCTGGAGTTTTGAGTGTTACCTGTAAGATGGGTTGATGAGAGGCTATAGAAGGAAGAGAGGTATCCCATACACAGGGACTTAATTGGGTCAGCCATGGTGGGAGGGAAGAGGTGGTAATGTTGGAGAGTACTTCCCCTATGGCAAGAATCAGGATCTTTTGGGACTATGTGGGAGTGATTTTTGTGCCTTGGTATGAGGAGGGATGTACCTGTTTTAGTTGTGCCTTGCATTCTCCTAAATTCGTCTGGATTTTCCGTGAATAATTTATTTGTGTGAGTTGTAGCAGCTGCCCAGATGCAATCCTTTCCTCGGAATGATTGTGGAAGTGAGAATGACTTAGACATCTGGATAAGTCACTCCCTATGCTTGAGTTAAATATTTAAATTATTTTATAAATTTGGTGGGATTATCTGAGAAGGAGCCTAATCGCTTTTCTATTTGTGTGAGATATGGGCAGGAAAATGGGACATGGACCCTCATGATGCCCTGTTGTCCTTTATCCATTTTGAGTTTATTGTTGTGTATGGTGTATGGTGTAAGTTGGTTGTCTAGTTTCATTTTTTGCATGTATCTGATCAAATTTACCAGAAACAGTTATTGAAGAGACTGTCTTGACTCCATTGTATGCTCTTGCCTCCTTTGTCAAATATTAATTGAGCGTAATGGCTTGAATCAATTTCTGGGGTCTCTGTTCTGTTACATTGGTCTATATGTCTGTCCTAGTGCCAGTACCAGGCAAATAACTGCAGGTTTTAATTTTTTTTTCTATTCCAGATGAATTTTTGAAGAGTTTGTTCTAGATCTTTGAAAGAGGCCATTGGTATTTTAATGGGGATTGCATTGAATCTGTAGATTTCTTTGGGTAGTATGAACATTTTAATGATGTTGATGATACCAATCCATCAACATGGTATGTTCTTCCATTTGTTTATGTCTTCCTCTATCTCT